TTTTTTTTCAGGATTCTTTGATGAATAAAAAGTTAAAAAGAACAGCATTTATTCAAAATATAAATCTTTTCTAACAATATAAATCTTTGCTATCACTTCTTATTAATTTAACACATCCTTGCTGAATAAAAGTTTTAATTTCTTTCAAAAAAAGAAAAGAATAAAAATGTTCTTTTTAAATTTAAAAAGAATTTAAATTTATTTTAAAAAATGTACTAAGAATTAAAATGTATTTTTATAGATTTATAAAAATATAAATTTTGAACTGTAGTGTATATTGTTAGAAAAGATTTCTATTTTAAATAAATGCTCTTCTTTTTAACTTTTTATTCATCAAAGAATCCTGAAAAAGTATCACAGGTTCCAAAAAAATATTAAGCAGCACAACAGTTTCCATAGAAAAACATTATTTTACATCGTAATAATATTTCACAATATTAAATTTTTTCCTGTATTTTTGATCAAATAAATGCAGCCTTGATGAGCATACGAAACTCCTTTAAAAAACATTAAAAATCGTTCTGATCCGAAACTTTTGAACGGTAGTGTATATGTATTTCCTAAATTTCAAGGTCACTGCTTAGTCTGTTTGAAGTTATCCTAACAGGAGTAGAGAGGGAAGTCATTCAGAAATGGTCATTCAAAATCTGTGATTTCTAGAATATTACATCTTTACAATGACACTAATTCATTCAAGTCCCCCAAAAAGGCTGGTAATCCACATAAGACAAATGCAAGAGAAGACAGGATAATGCGGAAACTCTCAATGGGGAATCGGTTCAGCACTGCAGCTGGAATTGCTCTCCAGTTCAGCGCTGAACAGGGTATGGATCTGTCTCGGCATGTTTAAGAGAAGTCAGACTGAAAGCGCACTCTGCAGTGACCAAGACTCTCATCAGCAGAGAGAATCAAAAGGCTAGACTAACCTTTGCTAAGGAGCATGTTGTGTGGTGAGAGAAGAACTGGTCCAAAGTTCACTTTAGTGATAAGAGCAAGTTTAATTTATTTGAGTCTGATGGGAAACATTTTGTTCGGCGTCAAACTGGGTAAAGACTGAAGCCCAAGTGTGTAAAGAAGTCAGTGAAAGGTGGATGAGGAAGTGTCATGGTTTAGGAGATGTTTTCTGCAGCAGAAGTTGGGCTTCTTATACAGCTACATGGCAGTGTGAATGTAAATGTTTATCAGAACCTCTTTCAGCAACATGTGGTACCTTCCCTGCAAGCATCTCCCAATCAGCCTGCAATTTTCATTAAAGACAATGCCCCCGTCACACTGCAAAACGGGTAAACCAGTTCCTTGAAGCAAAGAACATTGAAATAATGAAACGGCCAGCCCAGAGTCCTGATCTAAACCAGATTGAAAATCTCTGTAAAATCCTTGACAAAAAAAAAAAAAGTACACTGAATCTTTATTCGTACCACAGTTTGAGAAGCATAGTCTTAAAGGGATAGTTCACCCAAAAATGAAAACTTGCTGTTTATCTGCTTACCCCCAGGGCATCCAAGATGTAGGTGACTTTGTTTCTTAGGTAGAACACAAACAAAGATTTTTAACTCAAACCATTGCAGTCAGTCAGTCATATAATGGCAGTCAATGGTCCACGGTTTTGAGAGTCAAAAAAACATACACAGACAAAACCAAATTAAATCCTGCAGCTCGTGACGATACATTGAGGTCTTAAGACATGAAACGATTGGTCTGTGCAAGAAACTGAACAGTATTTATATATGACGTATACGCGCGACAGATCGCTTCCGCACATGCGTCTACTATCATAGATATGTATAGATGCCCTATTCGACCGCTCCAGATACGTTGACGCGTCTGCCATTTTGGAACGTATCGCGGCCCATAGAAACAGTCACTAATGAGGCATCTACTTATATATATCTATGTCTACTATGCCAGAGCACGTACACGCGTCACGCGCCGGATGTTGAGAACGCGCCCAGGACAGTTGGACATTGCGTTGGATCAGAGGTAAAAAATTATATAAATACTGTTCAGTTTCTTGCACAGACCAATCGTTTCGTGTCTTAAGAACTCAATGTATCGTCACGAGCCGCAGGGTTTAATTTGGTTTTGTCTGTGTATGTTTTTTTTACTCTCAAAGCCGTGGAGCCCATTGACTGCCATTATATGACTGACTGACTGCAATGGTTTGAGTTAAAAATCTTTGTTTGTGTTCTACCGAAGAAACAAAGTCACCTACATCTTGGATACATCACATTTTCATTTTTGGGTGAACTATCCCTTTAAGGGGGAAAAAATCACATCCAATTTTTTTACACTTGATTCAGTGGGCCACAATTCACAATGGGCGGGACTCAAAAAATAAAAATAAAAAAGACAAGCTATCAAAGTGCCAGCAAGCTACTGCCCACGTCTCCCCAGTTGCCGTCCCATCTATATTGTTTATCTTCTTGTTCTGTACAAGAAAATGACCGCAAACCCTCCTCCCTGTTGTTTGTTGATGTTGTTAAGAACTCTTGCATTGTTGCTTTGTGTGTGAGTTTGTAGAAGAACAATGGGACTTCTGGGATGGTTGTTTAAAGTGAACCCAGTCTGTAGTTAGTTGTATAAATTGAGTCTTTAAATTTACTCAAGGCGTCCTGCTTCTGTCCTGTAGTGTTAACTGGGCCTTACATTTCAATGTCAATAGCAATAGTTTCCTCAACAAGCTTGCCACTGCCCTCTGAAACCACACACGCAGTCCGTGCCACTTTATTTTGGAGCGATGAAAGGCTCTTGATGAAATCACTCTAAATCTGTTGAACGCTTAGACCAGAGGGATGACTCAGTGCTGAGAAGAGGAAATACAATCAAATGAAATAACCTTCTGAACATGCCACCTTTCCCTCAGCAGAGACCTCTGCTTCCGTTGCTGTTGTGGGCTGTGGATTTATGACAAAAAGCTGAATAAAGAACTGATTATTTTTTTATACCTGCTGCAGGTACCACACCTTTTATGATTACAACCCTTCTCTTTCTTCAGCATGCTTTGTCTGTTTGTTTGTTTGTTTTTTCACATCTCCTCCCACACGTGTCTCAGATGTGTTCGGTTAAAAATAGACTAGATTAAACCAGCAAGTGAAGATCAGAGTGTGAAAGTCAGAGTGGAATACCGAACAGGAGAAAGTCCCATGATTCAGTGCTGTTCATTAATGCCATCTCTCTGTGTAATCCCAGAACTCCACAACACACAGCTCTCAAAATAGACCAATGTTTTGTGTGTCTGTGACATTAAAAGGAATAAAACAACAAAGCATTGACACAACCACACACAAATATACTATACTTTTCAATGACTATTTGTCCTCATATTTCTCAGTTGTTCTCTGTCGATTACAAACAAAGATGTGATTTTTGTCATGTTGGAGCGGAGCAGTCACTCCTTCTCGTGCGCCACAAACTACTCTTACCTGTTGTATAAAGATATTGTAAGAGGTAAGTAGTATGCTATTCCCAATTCAGCCAGCATCACTTGCAAAATTAAACATATAATATCATCATGTGGCAATAATGTGGCATACTACTTTTTGAGGAACAATGCTCCATATTAGGGGGAAGTCGTGGCCTAATGGTTAGAGAGTCGGACTCGTAACCCAAATATTGTGGGTTCGAGTCTCGTACTGGCAGGGAGATTGTAGGTGGGGGGAGTGAATGTACAGCGCTCTGTCTCCCACCTTCAATACCACGACTGAGGTGCCCTTGAGCAAGGCACCGAACCCCCAACTGCTCTCCAGGCACCGCAGCAAAAAAATGGCTGCCCACTGCTCCGGGTATGTGTTCACGGTGTGTGTGTTCACTGCTGTGTGTGTGCACTTAGGATGGGTTAAATGCAGAGCACTAATTCCAAGTATGGGTCACCATACTTGGCCACATGTCATGTCACTATTGTTTTACATACTATTTTAAAATAGGCAGCATACACTATATGCTGCACAGTATTCAACAATATTCTGTCTTGAATGGCAATGCAGCGTTAACAACACTTTTTAAATTTCACCCAATTAACAGATGTAGAGGACTGCAAACTCTTCCTTCTGTCTGTTGATGGAGTACAGCTTACGCTCGACAAACATCTCACAACATTCAACCAGTGTGTTAATGAATTATTCATCAGCTCACAGAAACTATTAAACTAAGCCTTTAATGAGAGAGTTTGAGATCATTAAGCTCAATGTACTTCAGTCAGACATTAATCAGCCAATTTGTTCTTTATCCTCTGGTCACTTTTCATATTTGTGAATGTGTCCAAAATAATAATTTTGTGTTCATATTTCTTCATATTTTCCTTTATATGTGATTAAAATGAACCTGCTCTAGAGTTTTTCTAGTTTAGCAGCTCTCAAGCTTGTAACTGTGTTTGAATCTGTTTATGAATGTGGTTTTGTTTTTGTTTTTTGGGATAAAATCAGTGTGGTTTTGGAATGTTTTGGGCTCAGGTCATCTTCACATATCTGCTCTCAATATCTTTTCTGTGTCTGCTTGCTTTCTCAGGTTTTTCCCAGAAGGAAATCTTTGAGTCAGAGACGAGCGTCCTGCCAACATGTTCAGCACCAAAAGGTCAGAGCGACACACTGGTTTGTTGTCTGTTTTTGTGATCTTTTATGAAAATTTACAGCAACTTGGAAGACTAGACTTTATTACTTTAGTTGTAGGCTCTTAAGGGCTTGATAAATCACTTGCAGATTAATGGAAATACATTTAGTTGAGTTTGTGTTATATTTAGCATTTTTTTCTGAATGTAGGTTTCACCCATAAATTTTTGTCACAATGTTTGTTTGTTTTTTTTCACCATTTTTTGTCCTTTATAGACTTCATATTATGAGAAATGAAGTCATGAAGTCATAGTTTTTTGTAGTAAGAAAACATCCTGTAGGTTTCCCTCTGATTGCATTTTCATTGCAGCCGTGTTTTCAGAGTGTCAAAAGCCAGGTTTGACTCATCCAACTGAATATGATTATGCCTCTTGTGGGTCATTGCACAGACACACACACTGAGTTTGACGCCACAAACAAATGTAATTGGTAGCTTGTGGGAGTAAAGAAACCAACTGGGATGCACAAAACTGACATCGTCTAATCGTATTAGTCATAAGCGCGATTTTCTCAAGCGATGATTCTCATGAGATGTTCGTTTGGCTTTCTAGATGTGGTTTTGTGCAATGATCACAGAATCCGAGATCAGAAAAGTATGATTTTAAGGTTGTAGTTCAATTTGCCTATTAACCATGTAGATATGAGTTTTGTTGGTCAGCCCTGTAACTGTAACCCATTCTGATTAGCTGATGACATTTGACAGCATTAAATACAAGAGTGAGAAAAAGAAAGATTCATTAGGACACATTTTGGTTGCACACATGCAAAAATACACCTTTTCCTATACTCTAATATTTCCTGTGATTTTTATAGAATAAGCCTGTCATTTTGTGGTTTTTTTTTTAGTCACATTGTTTTACATTCATTTAGCCACTAGTAGTGAAAGTTTGTTGTTTTTGTAGAAATTTTTTCATTAATGCCTGTGTGACAAGTAGCTGTTTAAAAACATTGCGATGAAATGTAAAAAAAAAAAAAAATCAATAAAAAAAGTAGGGCAGGGACTTGGTTCTATATATTGGTTGTAGATTGGATTTTGCAAATTTTGTGATTTTGGGCATTTTGTGGGTTTGACATTTCGATTAAAGATTATTAGGTCACATTATGAATTGTTCACAGTAGGATCAATAACATGCATTTAGAAAGTATATAGGGTCATTTTTCATTTCATGCCAGCTTTAAATAAGAAAACATTTCCATTTTAGCAGCTCCTAAGTTTTAGCTTGTAAATATATGGTGCACTTTGTTTTTTACAATTCGTTTTTTTCCCACATCCTTCCACAAGTCACATGACTGTTTAGAGGAATTTATTTGGTAAATGTGTTTCTATTGTATTTCTTGTTGTTATCTTTCCGTTCAGCGTTTTTATGCAATATCCCAAAATTTGCATAAACAATATGTGGGTGGAAATCCAACTAATGACCCTAATACTGAAATGACAACACTTTCCAACACTATTAAGAGTAACACGCATGATCACATGGTTTTGAACCAATCTGCATCCACTATAGAGCTCTTTTATTGTTTGTGTTCTCATGAGCAGTTTAGTGGCTCATGTTTACATGCACTTGTTAAACTGTAACAGGAACACAGCTAAATTGAATCCTTCATCGCTGGGATTGTTTATTAAATGCATTACAGTTGGAGCAGCTCATTAAAAATGTTGCCCTGCCATCAGTCTTCTTGTGAAAAATGAGCCGTAGTTCTCTTTGAGGTCGCTGTAATGTTGGGCGGCAGATAAGGCTTCCTCTAATTAGACTTACCAATGTTTACGTTCCGAAACAAGCTCAGGTAGTAAGAGCTAAACCCTTCCACCGATGCCCCGGGCACAGGACTCATTACGCAGTCGTCACATCGCAGTCAACTGAATCATCTTGACCTCCTGTAGCTACAGTGTAACTTAATATCCAGCAAATATTCAGCTGACCTTGGGTAATAGAAAGAAGGTTCACCCTCCAGATTTGTTTTGAAACAAATCCCATTATAGTTTAATTTAGTTCTGCATCCTTGTGTGATTCCTGTGCACTGACTTAAGTAGACACTAATGACTTCCTGCTTAAGCAGGAAGCGGCCTTTTTAGGATGCAGAGACTGAGCGGTCACGTACAGGGTTTTAATTGCTGTCGGTGAGTTCTGTCACAATATTAAAGCAGTATTGAGTTGGACTCTTGAGCCACAAGTGAACAGGAGGCAGTGATGCTGTGGATGTCATATTGTCAGGCTGAATGACATTATAAGAATGGAATTATAGTGTCACAGAGAGCCTGCTTTTCATTGAGAAAAAAAAAATTTGAACATGATTGTTAATTTGACACAGCAGGTGACTTGCTCCATCATTTACTTTGCTTGTGTGGGAATAGAGGCACATGCAAATTGAATGGAATTAAAAATCTTTACAGTGTTTAAAACAAAAATGTATGATATTATACACTGTAAAAATATCAGTAGTAATAGGGAACAACTTACTGTATTAATATGAAGGAATTTTGCATGTTGTTGTTTTTTTTTTCAGGTGTTTTGCCTTATTTTGATTTTTGAATTTGAAGTTAACGGAAATGTAATGTCTGTAAAAAAAAATTACTCCGTAATATCCTGGCAGAAAATTACTGGTACATTTTCCTTTTTTTTTTTTAACAGTGTAATTATGGAATTATAATATTGTGGATAGTGGGTATTTAACTGGACATTTAATTGTGCATGAAATTTTTCCTGTTAATATTTACATTGTGCATGCCAATTTTTCCTATTTGTGTTTACATTTCGTTTTAGATGGCGGCAAAAGTATCTAAATTCCAAAAAAGTAATTACATTGTTAAATGTAATCTGGAATATCAAATATAATAATATAATGAATATAATTATTTTTATAATTCATATATATACACATATATAATTTATATTGTTATTATTGTTATTATGAAGAATTTAAACAATTTGTTTTCATTTTTTGTGTTTTATTTTTCACTTTGTATTTTGTCCAGTTATCAGCCTTGACAAAAATAATTATCAGTTTACTGGTGTCAGCCAGAATTTTAAGTTCAGTGCATCCCTAAACTTTACCATCTTCTTTGATTACATGCTTATTGCTGATGCCCCATCTAGACCTGCCACTGTTGTCAGAAGCAAAATTGATGTAAGACAGATCACAGACGTGACGTTGACAGCAGCAATCATCACCACGCTGTTCCCATGTGTAATGTGGGCTCACATCAAACTCCCTAACCTTGCCAAAGAGAACACTGACATCAATGACCCACACTTGATTAGTTGCAACTTGAAAATGCAGAAGACGTTCTTCCTTTGGAGAGCATAAGACACAAAGGGATATTGATAATGCTCTTCAAAGGCATAAAGATCTAATCAGTGCAGAATGACCCACAATGCTGCACAGATTTCTTGATTGACATTGGGAATGCTTTGGAATTCTGAGAAGAAATGGTGGAGATGTGACAAGCTCAACCGATTACTGTCCCCTGCTGTTTCCTTACCTGAGGGGGATTGGTGTTCTGTAAGGTTCATTAGCATAAAGGGGAGGTGTTTGTGAGTTATTCTGAGTGTGTTTGTCAGATTACAGAAGGTGCGTGTAATCATTGGAAGCTGATTTCGGTTGTGTGCTCTCAGGGCCCAAAATGAACACTGGCCAAGTGACAAATGCAAGTAAAAATTGGATTTGACAAGTACGTGAAATAAAGGCCTATAACTTTATTAGGAATTGCAGCATTAGGTGGTTTAAGTTGAATTGTAAGAACCTAGAGACGTATAAGAGACGTGTGTGATTCAGTCTTTTTTCCCTCCAGAACTTACTGTGGTGACACATATGTGGATTATTCCTTACATAAAGCCAACAAAATGGAAAACAAATGAAGCAGGCACATTCTGTATTTATTTGATTTGACTGACAGCAGCAATTTACGTTCACTTTCCTGATGATGAATAATATGCACTGAATCAGACAGCTCTTAAGAAAGACATGATGGCCAACGATGGATGTTTTTGTGAGCTTTTGTCTTGTTTATCTTTGCAGCCTAACATGAACGTACACCCTTCAGCTGTTGATATGTGTGATTGACGACACCACTGGCAGCTGAACGTGCTTGTCTGATCTGTTTGTTGTTTAAGATGTGTTTACTTCTGTCCTGTCTGTTCAGTGTGTCTTCTCATCATTTTAGGGTCCTTGCTGATGCACACGCAGTCATCTATCTGCGTTTTCTAGTTGCTGTGGCTTAGAGATACATGCGGTTGTTTCTTCAACTATTAGATAAAAAACACTTTATGCATATTTACCTTTTCTTTTGTTTTTGTCTTTACACATCATGTATCTCACATCAAGCAGAACTGAGGGACAGTCGTGATTTGTGTACAAAATTACAACCATTTTCACACAATAAATGGTTTGTTTGTACAGTAAATTTTAAAATCATTATTATTTTTCATATTTTTCCATTGTAGTGGTATGTGTTTTCAAATATTACAACCCTCTACATTGCGAGTAAATCACTCGCATATGTGACTAAATCTTCACTTTCACTCTGGGCGACTAAATGGTGTCTAATATTAGCCACTGGCTAATAAATTCTCCGATTTTACTCGCCAGTGTGTGAGTTGGAGGCTAAGTATAAGTTTAGCACGGATATATTTTCACTCGCCGAAAACACTGACTGATCGCTTCAGAGTTTCATCTGTCAAGCGATCTGTGCTATTTTTCAGTTCATCTGAATGGACGTGCAGCGCACCTGTATTTGACGTAGGCTACTGTAAACTCTAGTGTGAAGGCGCACGACACCCCGTCGCTTTGTCTCACACACATGCAGAGAGAGAGAGAGAGAGAGAGTCTTACATACCATGCAGAATTTACGCCTGAATCCAGCAGCTCGTTAATCCTTAGTGTGTTTTATATTGTTCTTAGAATTTGTAGCATTATTATCATTATCAAGTATTATTGTTAGTTTTTTCCCATTTTTTACAAAAA